CAATCTATGATACCGTTGTTAGCGAATTGGCTACTCCGGCGATAGCATCAACATACCTCTTGTCCGAGTGTTAATACTGGAAATCTCATGAGGACATCAGCAGTTTTCGAACATTACCCTGCTCACCCCAATCGTATACTACCACAACGCCAGCAGCAACTGCGAAATCGTGAAATCGAGAGACATCACCAACTAACACGACGAACCAGTCCAATAACTGAAAAAAAGATTGACATCGATCATCGGCCACCAACTGGGATCATTTGACACTAGGGTCATATTGAGTTTGAGGGATGGGTGTGAGCCACCAGATGTTGGGGATGTTTGTTTTAACAATAGCATTCGTGCTTGATATACCACCGTTCAGCGCTTTGCATCGCCAACATCAGCATGACGACTCACCATTAAGAGCCAGTTCAGCAGCCGAAATTTACGAATGTTTGGGATGTGTACAGAATATAAGAACATTTCTTTCACTGTGCGGGATGTTGGAGGCACCATTTCCAGAACGTGCAAGGTATTATCTTGTAGTTTCAATAATCTACTCTAGATGTGCCATCGCATGCTTCGCAAATCCTCAGTATCGTTTGAAAGTCCGACTTGGTAACCATGGCTATGAACCAGGAAGTGAAGAGAAGCATTGCACAGCACAGATGGGCTATGCAGGGGTATATATATACAAGACGGCGCCCAAGGCCAATAGTTGCATTCACACTGAAGAATTCATCGATCATCCATTGCCCAAAGTCTTCACTGCTAAGTTCTCGGTACACTGAATTCTCATCTGGACTTCCGGTGCAGATGAACTGATGTTCGGTTTTACCAGGGGGCCTATCTTCAAATCACTGTCAGCGTTAATCGTATAGTACATTGGCACCAGGAGGTCTCACCTTCGCACCATTGAAAGTATCCATAGAATCCTTGCTCGTACTTGACCACTTCACGGTGTTGCTCACGGAGACATAGCCATGGCTTCTACATCAAGGGAGACAACTGCCAAGAAACGGATTCTGAAGCCATCAATGACTTTGAAGGGTCACGGAAAATGGATTCAATCCATATCCTACTATCCAGATGGCCAGCGAATGATCAGCGGATCTCGGGACAAGACTGCTCGGCAATGGGACCTGAAGACGGGCAAGGAGATTGAGGGAGCGGGGCATGTTTGCAAGCTGGAGGTATTTGCAGTGGCGGTATCGAGGGATGGTCGATGGTTTGTCACTGGTGGTGGAGATTGGAATAATGGGGAGCTGAAAGCCTGTGAGGTTGAGACGGGAATTGTGAAAACATTCGAAGGCCACTCACGGAAAATCAACTGCATTGATATCTCTGTAGACAACACGCTACTGGCGAGTGGGGTCAAGAGATTGGACGCCCGAATATGGAACTTGGACACTGGCAAACTCGTGGCCGGTCCATTTTGACAGCATTGGTCATGTGGGCGCAGTTCGATTCTCCCCAGACTCAAAGAAGCTCGCAGTCAGTCATATGGGGGGACGTGCCTCGAGGGTTTGGGATCTCAAATCACAGAAATTGGATGTGAGGAAAGGGCAATCTGTTATCAGAGGACACAAACACAACTGCGCCATTGTTTTGGACAAACAAAAAACATCATAGCAGCATTCAGTTTCAACCACGGATATTACCATGACCTCGCCAGGACTATCTACGAGTTCGACAGGTCAACGCTGGAGACCGCCAAGACGATCTACGAATTTGATGCGTCGATGCTGGAGACCGTCGGAACTCCCTTCGAAGGGCACACCTCGACTGTCACAGGTCTAGCACTTTCACTTGACGGCACTCTCCTTGCTAGCGCTTCCTACGACAACACCATCAAGCTCTGGGCTTTCGAGTCTCGCCAGCTCCTCGCTTCCTTCAACGCTTATATCCATGCCCTTGTCCTTTCACCCGACTCACGCCAACTAGCTTACACAACATCCACCGACAACGATCACATCTACATATGCGATATTCCATTCGACATCCTCGCTCAGGTTAGCGTATCACTCCCCGCGGACATTTTCTACAGACCAATGCATGCAAGGGAGTCAGCTCGTAGCATTCTACCACCTCCCCCTACCAGTTTCGCCCCTCGTCATGCAGGGTCCAAATCCTGGACTGACAGACATGCCGGAACTTCTCACACACAGCCTACTAAGGTGCAGTTATCGTCTGCTACGATGTGGGGGCAACACTATGAACTGGGATTCCAGCCACTGTGCCAGGACACACTGCATTCCACAAAAGACCCATGGCAGATCTCCAAAGTACAACTATATCGCCTGTCATAGGTCTTCCCCCTCCATCGCAGATACCCTCCTCTACACTAGGTTCACGGCCACTCCAGTCGCACCCCGACCCCCGCGAACTCCTTCCCTCCTCTTCCCACACGCATACGGGTCTTTTCAACTCGTAATGTTGGATCTGGCAATCTCCCCCTTGAAGCAACACTCCAAGACCTCTCAAAATATATCACCAAGGATGGAGACTACCCTATTGCTCGGGCGGGTTCGGGGAGATCTGGAAATGCACACTTTACAAAGATCGTAAACTCAGTCAATGTTCGTTTGGGTGTCTTTTGTTTGTCCATCTGCATGAAATTGATCATCATGCAGGTCGCAGTGAAATCATTGCAGGTGTACGCTGATGATCATTTTGGGGCAGCGAAGACAAAAAGATCAAGGTGGGTATCTTATCGAGGGGCTTTGTCTATTGCTTACACTAGGGGGCGCTGCTTCATAGAGGATAAAGCGTGAACTCAGGATATGTGCAAACCTCAACCATCCAAATATTTGCCTGTTTTTGGTTATACGTGTGGCTTCGGCCCATTTATAGCAATAGTCAGTCCTTGGGCGGACAACGGTAACTTGACGGTCTATTTGGAGCGTGAGGGTGCGGATCTTACTCTCGTTAGACGATTTCAGCTGGCCAGTCCCCCATGTATTTTTAGGAGACAACAAAACTGACTGAAAACTTAGCTAAGAGATATCATAGCTGGTCTGCAATATCGTATGTGATAAACTTGCTTGTTGCTGGACCGAGCTATAACCACTCCTCATAGTTCACGCCAACAGTGTAATCCACGGTGACTTCAATGGGGTGAGTTCGATCTTCCTAATGGTTCCAATTTCATTGAGACGTGAGCTCCAGCCTAACGTGCTTATTTACGGTGATGGCACTGCGTGTGTTGCTGACTTTGGCCTTTCGTTGATGTATTCCGAGTTTATAAGCGCCTCTCAGGCTTCCTGGACGTCCACGCTCAAAGGCAACATGCGATGGATGGCTCCTGAGCTGCTTGGAGAGCGGGAGGATGGCTCTCAAGCTCGGCCAAGCGAGCAGAGTGACATGTATTCATTCGGCGGTATCATGCTGCAGGTACGTCTGGTTAATTTTGACCTTCCACTGATATCACAAGTTCCACTCGTAGGTCCTCACCAACAAAGTACCCTATTATCACCTCACGAATGATGCCGCCATCATACTTTGCATAGCCAAGTCACAAACGCCTTCCAGATCTCGTTATCCTAAGCTCCCTGAACAATACTGGCAATTTATCGAGCAGTGTTGGTCTACTCGTCCTTCGGACCGTCCCTCGGCGGAGGGAGCCGACACCACGATCAGGAATGAATTTCACTCGCTGTCCAGACCTCGTTGATTCTTGCACTGCCTCGGATTCAGACATATTTTTACAGCACAGCCAGATAGATAAACCTAGGTATACCTGTATAGTAAACGTGGGCTCACCCCAGGATATTAGAGCGCACCTGTGCCGCAACGCGGCAACGTCAGTTGCACAGTTATTGGAATCGGAAGAATCATTGGAATTGATGAAAGAATTATCCTGTTCACGAATTCTGCGACGACCTACATGCAGGCGATCACTGGTCCGACTGACATCAGTGAATTGACGAGTCCTTGATATTGTATCCGTGAGAACGATAGAAGCACGTAATTATGCCCCCGGCGTATCTTTCGGACTATGTCGATTCATTAAAACATCGCGCGCTATGGTGAGATGCCCGCTCAGACTTGAGCTATATGTGCACGAGGCGGAAACGTGTAACTTTTGTAGTCTGCCCACGAGTTCTTTACCCATCTGACGGATCTCGGTCTTACAGGACAGAACTTTACTGGAACATAATGACCATTGACACGAGCCTGAACAATCAGAAATCAGGCTTCCGGCGTGTTACAGGATTCTGGTCTCTCATATGCGATTTCTCTTCCGACCTTTGCATAGTTTCGTATAACGGCATTCAACTGATATCGATCATGATTCAGGATGTATCTGGCAATGCAATGCAATCACCATCGCATCAAGTGTACTGGAATCATGATGCATTGGATATAATGCGCTTTGTATCAGCATCACTCCACGCTAACCATATCTTTCTTTGTTTGAATATACTAGCTCAATGATCCAAGCGAATGAGACGACGAATAAAGTGAGTTATGTTTACTCCGCTTCGACCCACTCCGTGTCATGGTTTCTTGTCTGACTTCTCTAGTGTTATGCTGCAGAATGGCCCTTGCTCCATACGAGGCATTGGAGGACGCCTCGGGCTCGGCTAGCAAGGCCAAAGAGACTGTACATGCTTGTTTCAATCACATCGCACTTAGACCTGTGTTAGATCGATGACCACACAATTTCATAAGGAACTCCTCGACTCTTACAAGCTTGCAACAGAAACACCCAGATAATGGTGTTGGAAATGAGTTGCCAACCTCATCAACGACTGGAGCTTTCCTGATGTTCAAGTAACTATGTGCTCGATACTGGTTTGCAAGTCAAAAATATACTTTGATTCGATCGCGGGCTTTCTCTTTTCACCGATTTTGCACCGCAATACTTCAACCAATCAAGGGTCTTGCAGAGGTGGGTTCAGGTATCTATCTCCGTCATGCCGATTTGGCGATAGAAGCGCTGAACGACGGTATATCTAGCATGAACACCATCGTTACACACCCCAACATCACCCACTCGTTCACACCCATCCCTTGAATATGACCGTGGTCTCAAATGATCCCAGTTGGTGGCCAGCAATCAATGCGAATATTTTTTTCACCTATTGGTTGAGTTCGTCGTCCGTTTGGTAATGTCTCGATCTAACATTGACATGCGGTTTCGCAGTTGCCGCCGGCGTCGTGGTGGTATACGACTGGAGTGAGCAGGCCATTGTTCTGAAATTGCTGATATTCTTATGATATCTCTAGTACTGACACTCGGACAAGAGGTAGGTCGATGTCACCGCCGAAGTATCCAACTCGCTGAGAATGATGTTATAGATTGAACTGATCTGGGTAAGTTGATGTGACAGAATCCCATACCAGAAGAAGCTCAAGACGATACGAGACAGAGGCAGCGCTGGTCTTTCATGACTGTGCTGTATTTGGTTGTTCGTACCTCATGTTACATCTTAGCGTGATTGGCGGTTGCGCTGACTCCAAAGTGTTCTAGATACGTTATATTGGAATACCATGTACTGTGTATGTGCCGAGGTCAACAAATTGATACTGTGTTAATAGCTCATTTCTGACAATCAGTGCCAATGTTTTGCGTATGTCTCATATGCATTGTGTTTGATTCCTCTGACCGGCGGCACACAGCAAATCTACGATCGGTCTCCCTGTCAGATGCAGTGAGTATTCCGTAACAATCTCATTCTCATTCAATGAATACGCTCATATGTAGGGGTGAGTGAGATTCTAACCATTGAACTTAGCTCAACATGATGTCTCATTAGGTGTGAGTCGGAGCGTTTGATCCTAGTGCCAGGTAATTACTAATTGAGTGTTTCAGGCAATGTCATGAACTGCGTGCTAAATGGGACGAGTGTGGTCATAGTTGCTATGTTAGGCGGTGAGTTACCCAGCTGCAGTACTTCTGTGATATTGACTCGGCTGGATCCTGATACAAGTCATCATGATTGTTCGGTTATATGCCATGTATCAGAGACCTAGAGTGATGCTTATCTTCCTTGTTATTATCTTCCTGGCTGTTAACATCACTTGCGGAGTAATCACGGCAATATCACTCAAGCATATGGTAGCGGGTAAGCCTTACTTGTGGACTTGAAGAACACGGCTCATTGGCGAATACCAGAGGAGCTGATACTCTCTGGCACATATATGTGCAGTTATGGATTTGAGGGGGATTCACAGCTTCTGATTTCAATGGTTTGGATGCTCAACACTGTATGGGAGGTTCTCGCACTGTGCCTTGCAGTCTGGATTGCTGTGAAGCAGTTCCGTTACCTGCGACGGCTCCGCCCATCGACAGGGTCGACCATCGGAAACTGTTTCAAAGTGCTGATAAAATCACACGTGCTTTATTTTGCAAGGTGAGCTTGTAACGTGAATATTGTTATCTTTTTATGCTAAAGTTCCTCACGTGCTAGCTTTGTTTGTGTCTCTTGCCTCCAGCTTAGTGTTCTCTCTCCAGAGTTCGCTGTACGTCGACGTGTCATTGACATCTGCTTGTAGTCACTGCTCACCATTTCTGTAGAATTCACAGTCTATGGGAGCTCTGATACTCGACAGTGTTCTTCAAATTTTCTTCAGCGTGCAGATGTTTGTGCTGGGACCACGCCTCATCCTTAGCGTTCGAGAATATCACGCTGAGCTTGTAACCAGCTCCGACGTAGAAACTAGCATGCCCTCGATTGTCTTCCAGGAGCGTGTACATGTACCAACTAGCAGTACTGTATAGGGAAATGCTTGCCGAGTAGTCAGGAGGAAGTTGGTCGAGGATCCATTATGTTAGTTATTTATGTAGGTTGAAATCTGTCGTAGCATATTTAAGACGAGGTTTATGTAGACAAACCCCTTGATGCATCACGACTGGAACCCAGCGAACTGCCCGCCCACACTTGCGTCAAGTGGCAAGCTGGAATCATCCGGAGCGTCTAAAAACCAATCCAAATATTGATGCCAACACTGAAATACAACAAGAACCAGTACAAATCACCCAGATAGCTGATTCACGTCAGAGTCACACTGCAAAACATGCATCAGGGTCCTTGCAATGACCCGCCCAATGGAGTCCATTAAGCATGACCGTCAAAGTAAAGCGACGAACGAGATACGGACATGCATATTGTTTGCATTGACCACTTGAATGAAGTGTCTGATAGAAGGTGAAAGACGGGGATGAATTCAAAGTTTTGCGGGAACATGAGAGGGTACCGTTAGAATGACCAATAAGGAATTCAACTTGTAGGTGCCAGTGACCAGTGCTATATCGAACGAATCAACACAGGATGATCATGAGGATAACGAAGTTCCGGGGAGCGGCTATGTATATGATAAATGATTCCAGGTATCGATAGAGGCGCAGGTGCATCGATGGCAGGAAGTTGTCTTTTATGGAAGGAAGGCCTGGATTCGAAGCGGGGGTGTTCGATTATGGACATTCCGCCTGACGGACAAAGTCCAACCGGTACCCCGCACTAAATAGAAGCACGATGGATCAGAAGAATTGGATGATAGAATAGATGCCGGGGTAGATAAGACTTCAACTAGACAAATTGGAAGCTTTCGCGATGTCAAAGATACCAATCGTGGAATTCATGCGCTGGTTTATCAGATGAACATCAGTACTTACAAGACGATATGGACGACGACATACGTAAATTTAGGACACGAACCGTGACGATGGCGGAACAATAAAGTATGTCGAGCAGGATCTGTCACATTTACATTTATCGGGAATCAGATCGCCGATTTTGCTGGAACTCCAATTGTTTTGCGGTCGCGCATTCATTTAATTTATCTAGATCGAGCGAATTCTCAGCGAATGCGACATGACAGAATTTGGCTTGGAATCTACAGGTTTGGTTCAAGGGCGTGCCTGGGCAGCGTTAGAGCGTCTCTGGATGGACTCCGTTGATGGCCCTTGTTCACGTGGTTTACCTTCGATGGCACTTTTAATTCGAGCCCTCCGGGCTGCAGAGAAGTAGTAACAGATTGTGCGTGAAGAGCGGGTGTAATGTGTAAAATTGGCCATCGGATATCCAGATCAGTTATCACTGAGATAGATCGACGGCAATCATCTGTGTCAAGTAAAACTCAACGATATCGAATGTGATCAGTTCAAAAAGGAAACTTACGGCTCGAGTATATGCCTCTATTACAAATGCGCGTGGCAAGGACATCGGGCGTGGTGAGTATGGAGTAGAGAAAAGAACCAGAGCTTCGAGTCAGAAAACACCAAGCGCACCCGCGAAAGTATCAGTAAGCTATCGACCACGAGATTCCGACATGCATACATACATACATACATACAATACACCCGTTGATATCTATCAGAGTCGCCCTGGCCAGGGCGAAAGTACTAGTAAGCCTCACTTAAAATTGTAATCTGCTCGCTCAGGTCGTACGCGAGTACGTAGCGTGTCTGAGCCCAGACAACTGATAATCCGAGAATTCCGCATTTGAAATACCCTTGAGCATTGCAAGGAAGAGTGCTGTGTCTGGAGGATTTGTTATCGGCGCCACTCTCCGTCGATCTTCACACGCATGACGTCTAGTTTAGATTCTCGTCCTCAAGAGAGAATGACATGTACAGGTGTGAGTTCCGGAACGGCCTTGTAGCCTATTACTTACAGGGCACGGCCAGCACCTAGTACTTTGATACTAGTTAGCTCATTTGTCGACTCTCGGCAAACACCGAAGGTATGAATCTAAAGCTTCAAGCTTCAATATTTGTTGCAACTTCAAACCTGCCGCGAATAGATGCAAGCCCCGTATCTTTCGCACTATGTCGGTTCATTATGTCCATGTCGTGTGTATCTCATGAGCCTCCTGCCTCAAATCGGCCAATATTTTCTTTCTCTGGACTATCAGCATAACAGGCCGTAACCAGCAACGCTTTTGGTATCTTCACTGAACACAGCCGGTGACCAACCGGGCAAGCCTCAATGTGCTTGCAACCACAGTGAAATTGGACCTGCCAGGTCTCCCAGTCACCTACACCATCGCTAAATTCTATATCCTTACCCCAACTGTCTATTCGGTGTGTCAATCGAGCTGTGATTCGTTGTTTACAAACCGTTTATTTGCAAAGTACAACGACCATTTCGTGCTTACTATCACTGACGGGGTTTTTCAAAATGGGTATTGGGTTTCAAAATTCGCTGATCATCATATCGTGAGCTGCGCACTGCACAAAAATATTCTGTGATTTTAGCCAGTGTTCTCTAGTGTCTATAGAACACAGCTGTGAAGATCCTATAGAAAACATCGAGCAGTTGTGTTCACAATAAATCATCCATTGAAATATGTCACACCACTGAATGTTGATGATTGTAATGCTACAATCTATATACTTTGTCAAACAGGACAAAAACTATGTGAAAACAATCTCTGTCCCTATACAAATGATGCTTACCACTGCGATTTCTATATCGTGATTGAGTGAGGGCAGAACCATGTTATCAGTGAAGTT